AAAATAAATCACCGTTCCATGACTGGTGTTGAACCATCCAAACGACAGTATTCATATCCTCGGAGTCGTAAATAAACCTCCAAAATATCCATCATTGTTGTGAACTGACTGAATATTAGCACTTTGTCACCCTGAATTAATCCGCACTATTATTATCAAATATTCCAAAAAAACGAGAAACAAACAAACAAAATAAAAGGATTCCAGGAAAATTTTTTCTCGTGAACCAGAAACCTTTTCTTTGATTTCTGGAAGCAAATGATCGAGTTCTTTGAATTTGCCAGATTCGAGTGCGATTCGTTCGTCAAGACTGAACTGCTGAGTGGACCTATACTTCGAGCAAAGTTGACTGATCGCAAAATCCGATCGAAATGCTAAATCTTCAGCTAAATGCTCTGGATTCTTCTTCTCATATTCTGATTCCTGGAAAAATGAAAACAACAATATCAATAACAATAAAGGAATCATAATAACAATAACAATTATAAAAGCAACAGTAAATTAAAAGAACAAACAATCAGACTAACTGTAATAACGACATCAATACCAAATAAACAAATGCAAAACACTGTCAGCACTCATCATGTCAAAACCCAACTAAAACCTCACCGCTTTACACAAAACATTCGCTATTTTAATGACACGATCGTCCGTATATTGTCTTCGGTAAAGTAACGGATGATTTGCGATCTTTCTCAGTTCCATCAAACGTCCAATTGTCATTTTGTCGCAATTCGCATCCATCTCCCGATACTCTCTGATCAAGTCATCGTATATGCGCTGCTGTTCTTCGCTCATCTTACAACATATCACACGCTCAATCTTCTTTGGCAAATAACTCAACACCTGCAAATTCCACCGTTCACTTCATCTTTAACGACTCGAATTCTTCAGCTTTCAGTAAGCCATCAATAGCGATTACTGAATAATTACAAATTCAAACTAATCAATTCAATTTCAGCGAGCCAAATGAATAGCCAACAATTGAATGAATGCAAATATGTACATTTATCTTCAATCTCCTCAAGATATACGGCTGCAAGATTGCCTTCGCTTGCTCGATTTTATCCGCCTCATAGAGAGATCCACTTTTCGCCTCCATTGCTGGAATTTTCTGCAAACGAAGTTTCTGGTGAGAATCACAACGAGATAATGAATTATAATCGAGAATGTTTTCCACTCAACAAACCTTAACAAGAATTTCAAAAATACATTCTAATTGAAAAGTGGGAAATTCCAAAGCAAAAAAAATGAAAATAATTGCAGCAATAGAAACCTGTTGAAACTGTTGAAGCAATTGAGAGATATCATCACAGTACTTCGTGAAAAGTTTTGTCATTGTAAAATAAATGAGCGATATTAATTCCATTAAATTGTTTTGCAATGGTGTACCCGTCAAAAGTATCTTTCGTTGACCCTACAACAACAA